TGGTACCAAGCATGTCCTTGTCACAGAAATATTTAATCATAATTTGATTTCAGTTGTTTAAATATATTAAACAAGTGCAGGGATTTCGAGACTGCGGAAGTTGCCGCATGCTTATTTGACACGCGCTTGACACTAACTGATGTGCGGTGGCCTACCTGGTACGCTTTGCTAACACAGCTCCTCAAGTACAAGCACAAAATAGATGAGTTGTGCATTTCTCTAAATGTTCCCAATTTTACAAAAAAACGAAATTCAGTACTTGGAAGATTTTTGCATGATACTAAAGCCAATAGCAGATGCTTTGGAGTTCCTGCAGCAAGATAATTATTTGTATTATGGCTACTTTCTTCCCACCCTGGTTACAATCAAAGTCAAATTGAAAAAGTTGCACGAGTGCAGACGTATAAAACACTTGCACGCTGTAGCACAACAAATGAGCGATGCTTTATCGAATCGTTTTGGAAAATATTTCGAAATGGATTCTGACTGCAACGATGCCATAATTGCGGCAATAGTATGCCCGGCCGTTAAAATGCGCTTTGTGGAAGCTTTGCGTGAATCCGCAGCGCATGTTACTACGGAAACGCTTGCGCAGCTTTTTGTGGATTATGCGCAAGAGTTTTACGTAGCCGAAATTAAGCAGCGTCCACCATCCGTAGATTCCTTCCTTTGTTTTACTGCGGATGATAATGAAGGTATATTCCAGTACTACATACTCCCCTTAAAATTATTAAATTGCTGATTAAGATTCCAACAATTTTATAATGACAGAGTATTTTAAATTCTCTCAGATTTCTCCACAGAAAATTGCCCAACCGTCGTTATACGCAAAGAGTTGACAGGTTACTTGCATGATGAGGACAAAACTTTGGCTTGTTTAGATCGTTATCCACTAGTTAAACAAGTTTTTCATAAATACAACACCTTGCCGCCAACTTCAATGGCGCTGGAAAATTTCTTCCAAACTTTCTTGAATGTGCTTAATGGACAAAAAGAACAGTATTTAAATGATGAGCATTTCGAGCGGTTAGTCCTTACGAAGGCAAATAAAATTTTGTAAGAGTACTACTTAAATTAATTCAGCGTCTAAATGTTGGATTTGAGCATCAAAATATTGTGTATTAATCTAATAAAAATAAATGCATATGTAGTTTAAAATTGTATTATTTAGTATAAATTTCTAAATTTCACCGATGCATGTATCAATATAAACACAGCAGGCATAGTGGTTTGAAATTGGCTTCCGATTCGTAGAGTTTAATGGCTTAAAATGTTTATACTCGTGTTATTCTACCCAATCCGTGTCGTTGTCCTCGTCGTCGTCGTCATCTGACTGTTTTCGTACAGCTGGTGGTGGTATCAAGGCTGATAAGCGCGACATAACCGGATTACCGGTTGTAACTGCACGAATACTAATCACTTCTTTGTCCACACTATCAGCAGCATTAACATTTTCTTTGTCTTTGGTTCCTGAAATACCCTTCCGGCGCATTAACAGCTTATTGTGCAAATCTGCCATAAGATCTCCGCCCCCTGAATTGCTTGTTTTGAATTTGGTTTCACTCGTTTTAGTGCTCAAACGATTATCGACCACATCAACAGGCGCAGCAGCACGTAAACGCCCACCGCGCGCGCCTCCCGCTTTACGTATGGCATCCATCAGCTCAGTGCGTGAATTGCTAGTTTTCGGCGGCAGAAAATTCGAAGACTTTGATTTTTGGCTGGTGTTTTCCACTGGTGTTGACTGTGTCTGTAACGGTGGTAGTGGCGGTGGCGGTGGCGGTGGTGGAGGAGGTGGT